TTGGTATGCTTACACAACCATAGAAATAAGATGTCATGGTACAGATGTGAGTAAGTCAGGCTGCATATCTTAGGTGAGGGGGAAGAAGAGAGAATACATATCTAAATCATACATTGAACCCTAAGCACTGTATAAATTAGTCGACATGGTTCACTCCATCTCCCTGTGCCACTATCTGTCAAGTTAATTAGTGGGGGAAGACAAGAGAATGTATACAAAAGATGCCAGAAAAATGTATTTTTTGTCTGCTATCAGGTGGGAGTAAAGTTTGAGAAAAACTTCAGGCGATACAGACACAGCTTCCTGGACAGACAGCTCCAGGTTGCCAGGGAAATTAACTGAAAACAGCGCAGACAGAGGCTCACTAAACTGCCTTCACTTGGTGATTAGGTTATTTTAAATCTCTCAGGAGATTCCATTCCACTTAAACGTAGTGCGATAAGAGACAATTAGTGATCCTCTGAGAGCGGTCGCGTCTGGAATAGCAAGAAGCACACACTTTCCTTTCCTTCTCAGTTTGAGATCTGTGATGCCCGTGACCTTCACTACAGAGCCATGTCTTGTAAGCAGCAAAGGGGAAGAACAGGGCTGAGGCACAGTGAGTTCCCCTGAACAGCAGAAGGAGATGAGCTCTGGCACCACTGAGACACACACCCGATTTTGCCAAAAACCAGATATGAAAAGAGGAAAAATAAACATTTGTGACAGTCACTAGTCCTTCCTTACACAAACTTCCTGGGAGCTCAGCTGTCTCTGGTTACAGGTGACACAGTCCAAACTTCTGCAGAGGGATTTACCCTGCTCTTCTGGAGAAGACACTGAGCTGACAAGCAGTGGGGTAATGGCCCATAGTGCCCCACTACTGCCACCGTTTCTGATGGCTACAAACTGGAGAGGCCATTTCCCTGTGATTGATTTTTTGGAGCTCAGACTGGCTCTGTTCATGTTCCTCGAAACTGCGTCACTGGAAGCTGCCCTCTGGATCCATTACACACTGCAGCTTCTGCCACTGGCAGCAATCAATGCCCGGGAAAAGCTTTGTTCAGTGCAGTTTGTAAGTGAATGTGTTCAATCCAGAGTACAGCAGCTCTAGTCAGCAGGTAATACAGCTGCCTGCCTCTCTACTTCTCCCCTACTTCAAACTCAGTTTTTTATTTGCAGTGGACTTTTCCCCAACTGTAGCATAGAGGAAGGGCAGTGAAATTATTCATACAATTACTGTAATACTTACCTGGATACAAAACTCTGCTACAGGAGAGAGAATAGAACCATATTGAGAAACAGGAGGAATGAAAAGTGGCTTTATTTCCCTTTGTCTCTGTGAAAGAGTGTATCAGATCCAATATAGGCAATAAAAGCAATTCAGGGGCATAACAGGAGTTTCTGACACTGAAAGGGACTCCAGGGTGTTATAAAGCTACTGGAGAAGATGACATTATGAAGAGGGGATAACCACAAAACAAACAAACTGTCTCTTAGTCAATAAATGAAAGCTTGCCTACTAGATACCTTGCCCGAGCCATCACTGGGTATGGGGGAAAGATATTGATGGTGAAGGAACAATAAACAGGAAAAGATGTCTGCCTCGAAATTCTGGCCAATATGCCCTCTTGAAAATAGAAATTAATATGCTAGTGAATCATACCTCAGCTGAGGGGACCTCTGCTGTCAGGCCAGCTGCAGACAGAGAAAAGAGCACACCAAGTTAAACAGAAAACTTGACCCAAACAATGAATACAAGAGCCAACACTGCAGCATTCAGGTCATTGGCCAAATAAAACCACAAAAAGGCAATGGCACAAGCAGCAGTGGTTTATGTAATACCTCACACTGGTGATCTACAGGACAGCAGTGGAGACAAAACTAAAGACAAGTGCAATTAAGTGACAGGAAACATAACTCAGTCTGGGCCACCACCATGATGACCCAGAAAAATCCTCAGCCATCTGCTGATGTATCACGAGAGAATCATGAGAGGTGAAATGCCCAAATGCCCAACAGAATGCAGGCAGCAGTTACAAGATAAAAACAAGATGTTACCCTTGCAATTGCCAAGCAAACCTACACATGTTGCAAATTCAGTTGTTTTAAAGAAATGCGTGCCAATTAATCCTATATCCTTGAATATGTTTAGTTATGGAGGATGCCTCTATAACTAAATATAGCAGGCAGTATCTAGCAGCCTGTGTTGACTACAAGCATTTCCAAAGAGAAAAAGCCTTGGTAGACAATCCAATCCATATGCACCCTTAAGTAACTCAGATTTTCTTTCCACCCTGCTGAATGTTCAATATGTACTGAATTTAGGTTCTGCAATAAATCAAAGCAATTAAAAATAGTTAACAGTTGTGTTTACATGAGAACAAGAATTTTGAGATAATTATTCTGAAAGTTGGAAGTGGAACCAAGCAATCTGTCTAATTAGCTTTAAAAACCTACTCCCGCTTTTTGGAGTCAAATTGGAAAGGAGTTGAATTTCCGAAAGTGTTGCTCAAATATTTAAGCTTTAACACCAGTCTGAAAGTTCAATATGTGTCACAAACCACTGTAATAATAATGATGGTGATAATAAAACTTTGATAGCAGCCATCTGCCCATTCCAGACAGCTGAATCATTTCCAGTGCTCCCTGAGAGCCAGGACTGACATGGATTTTTATACACTATATCACAGACAGTATATGCAGGGTCTGCAGCCGAGACCTTTCTGTAATGACGTCAAAGAGGTTGTGCAGCCAGCTTTTAAAATTGCTGCAGGCTCATCCTAATGACATTAGGATATAACAAATGAGGAAAGGAAGATATGTATATCAACATTACAATAACAAGCAAGGACAGCTCACTTAGCTCTGGAGGCAGCACTTAGGTTATCCTCCATAGAGCTGCTCTCCAAAGTTTGCGTCAGTGGAGGGGGTGGGGTGTGAATTCCATGACTAAGGGGCATAACTCAGCTGGAGAACTTTTTAGTGTGCAGCCTGGAAAAAAATAAATAAGAGAAAAAGGCATTGGAATTATTAAGAACTTAAACAAGAAACTGGAAAGAGAAGAGACTTCAGCAAGGCATTTCGGTTGTCTGCTTGCAGACATAAGGGTCAAGTGCACTGTTAAGAACAGTCTATGTAAGACACAGCTAAGCAGTTCTTCCAAAAGCAAACAAAAAAAATCTCAAAATACATTAATCGAACAAAATATTCAATGAGCAGTCACAGACAGCTGGCAGGGCTGCACAGTGAGTCAGTTTGTATCAGCCCTGGTGATAACCTACATACAGCCACACTCACACGTGACCGTGTCTGAGCTGGAGCTTTACTGATACATACAAGATGGACACGGTAGCCAGTTGTTTTCCTAGAAGTCCCAAAGCTGCATTTCTTCTGTAATGTACCTGATCTGTCAGCCCTTTGCATAAGTGGGGAAACTCATATTAGTTATTTATAAAGAGGCATGAAGAAGGCCCATTTCTTTTCAGAGGGCCAAGAAATCTGCTTGGACTTGTCATCCGCCTGGATTTGTGCAAAGCATTTGACACTGTTCCTCATGACATTCTTGTCTCTAAACCAGAGAGACATGAATTTGATGGATGGGCCTCTGAGTAGATAAGAAATTGGCTGGAGGGTTGTCCTCAAACAGTCTGTGTTCAATGGCTCCATCTATAAGTGAAGAGCAGTGACGAGCGGTGCTCCTCAGGGGTGGGTATTGGGACCAGCACCGTTAAACATGTTAAAATGTTAGATGTTAAAATGTTTAAGATGTTTGTTTAACTGTTTCAGATGTTTAACAGCCTTGTCAGTGACATGGACAGCGGGAGCAAGTGCACCCTCAGCAAGTGTGCTCACACCACCAAGCTGTGATGGGGTTGACTGGAGACACGGGAGGGAAGGGATGGCATCCAGAGGGACCTGGACAGACCTGAGATGTGGACCTGTACAATCCCAAGCAGAAGACTGGGTAGATTCTATGGAAGAGTAGAGTGTGAGTCCAGTTGCGGGTATTAGAGGAATTAATTTAAATCAGAACAGATTTTAGGAAGTTTTGATGGAAATTTTTGTACTTTCAATGTCCAAATCAATAAATGGTTGACAGATTTCTGAAAAGGAGCATATCTGTGTGCTGTGACAGGTGAAAAAAAAATAGAAACATACTGAATCTTTACCAGTACTTATGAAATAATTAATTCCTATTGCAAGTGGGTGCTCCATTTCATTGCATGAAATATAATTCATGTAATTTTGCCATTTACACTCAGTAATTACTCTTATTCGTGTAAATGAGACTACTGGTATTTTTATGAAATATCTGAGGAAATCTGTTATTTTCTTTGCCTCTAAAATATCTTGCAATTTAGACATTCATGCTAATAGCATGATATGAATGTTAGCCTCTTATTTAGTTTTCCTTTTGTATCTTCACTCAGTAGTACTTGCAGTACTCCAGGTGTATCTCTCAGAATAGGTATAGTGTTTAACATAATTATACTTATCTATAATTATCAAAGTTAAAAAGCTAAAGTTTACTCCTTATACCTTTACTTTCCTCTCTTTTTCTGGAAACCATTAAAAGAATATCTAATTGTGCCATAAAAACCTGGTTTTAAAAGTATTTTTACTTACTGTGGATTCTTAGGCTTGAAAGGAGCATTCTGGGGACTTTTTAAGGTTCTGGATCTTTAGATCTGAGGAATGAAGAACAGAGGCATTACCACACTGGAAGGTACCAAGTGTCTCCAGGTACAATATTTCAGTGTATGGTGCAGTAAGATGGAACATTCAGAGATATGGGGATTGTGAATTCTTCCCTGAGATGAATTTAAGGTTAAAAAATTTTTAATATATCTTTTGAGGTAACTGTAGCAGCACAGATTGGCAGAGTGCAGCTTGGGCTGGCAGTGCCCTGGGGGCTTCAGGGTGCCCCAGGGCAGTGCAAGCATTAAAAATTACCTAAGTCAGATCATAGTACAGTGAGGAGACCTTCATGAAACCTGGATGAATGCTCACCTGCCATTTCTGTGGTCTGAAGGTCTGCATCCTTCCCTGCTGATATCTCTACAGCACTCTCAGTCTGCTTCCCCTGTAGACTTTTCAATTTTCAACTCTTGAGCTCCAAAATAATCATTGTTGAATTTGCTGCTTTTAATCAAGTGCTGCGATTATCCCTGATTTACTACATAACAACCATATTACCTGATGGAAAGGTAATGTAAAAAGACCTGCAGAAAGTCAGAAAATAAATAAATTAAACCAAAGAAAAACCTTCCCAGGATCAAACCACTACAAGTGTTTTCCTGTCTCCCTCTAGTTACTACCAGCTGCTCTTTGTCTATAAAGTCACCTCATTCAAACACTTCATGCTGATGAGAGTGTCGCATGGTAGAAGGCAAGTAGCAAAATATCTTCCTTACCTTGTGCTTTTTCTCTGTTTTTCCTAGTTATGGTCATATGATGTGCTGAAACAAGCAATTCAGGAAAGACCGAAGGCCCCCAGAGTCTGCTGTGTTTGTAAGGCAGTAAGGTTAGTCTGATTTCTGAGATAAACTAGAGCAATGGCAATTTTTTTTATGGTAAGTAATGATTCTGACTGAAAATAATTTTAAAACTCAGGTAAAGGTACAGAAAGATACAAACAGAAACTAAAAACGTCAGAGTTCAGGGTGAAGATTTTAACTGGGTTTCGTTCTGGTGAGAGAGTTATGCAAACATAAAATCTACCCCCACAGCTGTGTGGAAAATGAAGAAGAGCTGAGGATCAGTGAACATATCCCATACTTGGTGCCCCCACAGGCATCAGGCCTGGGGACAGAATTCCAGCTGGGCACCCCTTCACTGAACTTGATAAAGTGTGGCTGAAAGGATGAGCAAAAGTTTCCATGATGATACTTCCACCGATCCCCTTAAAAAGACACTTGATATTGGTCTCCAAGGACAGAGATAACCCAGCAGTTGCAGTGCAAAGGACTCAGACAAGTACTTGGCTGCTGGACTCAACACTTCACTGTCAAGATTCCCAGATGTTCTCACAGTGTGTCTGCAACTTTTGCAATCGTGACTGCCAGACTTTTTTCCTCAAAGAAAAGAGGGAAAGGAACTGAAGGGATTAGGAATTCTGAACAGAGGAAACATCAGAAAAGGAATATAAATACAGACATTGTATATACATATACATATGTATATACATACAAATACACATATATATCTGTATTTATATAGATATATATCTATATAATATAAATGGTGCCTTTGGTTACCTAAGAAACATTTAAAAAACAGTACCACAGGCAATGCAGATAAGCCAAGATATTGCCTCATGGGATATAACAGATGGAAATAAACTATTTTCAAAATTTCCAGGGGAGGGAAATCTGATCTTTGGGATAGAAAGCAAAATCCAATCTTTGGGATAACCCAAATTAAGCCTTGTAAGGCTTATGCAGTACTCAGAGGTCAATTTTTCAAAGTTAGAGAGGATGATTTGGATATGTGACTACCCAGATCTCCGATCACTCACTGTTCATATGGACACAGACTGCTCATATAGGTCATGAGTGGATTTAATATCCCTTGGACCCAAAGTCTACTAAAAAAGGACGGGAAAAAGTAGGTACAAGACTTTCAACTTTACAGCAGTGAACTGGGCTATTAAGTGTTAATTCAGGGATACCTTGAGGAACATCTATAAATTTTTAGTAATTTTGAATCAAGGTGTGATATTCGTAGCTAAAAGCTCTCTCTAATCATAAGTCTCATAAATATTCATGTGATCAGTGTTCTTTTATTTTTCTGCCCATTTAAGATTCTGATCTGTCTCCTGGGATCAACTACCTGCTAGGATGAATTCCATGAAAAAATTCTAAAACCAGTGATAATGTATAGAGATAGGATTGCTCAGATGACCTTATTCAGCACATGTCAATATTGGAGGAGCAACATTTTTATGTTCACATTTTTACTAAGTCCAGAACTGCATATTTTAATAAATACCTGATGAAAAACATAGCTTATTTCCCAGTTTCACAAACTCATTTATCATCTTCCATTATCCAGAAAGGTAATAAATATGAAAAATGGAGCTCCTATGAGATGGGGTAACGACAATTCTTAGACAATCATCTTTTTAGTAACTTACATAACTCTTTTTACACACTGCAGCATTTTTCCATGTAAAACAACAGCCAAACCTGTCTTTTTATTCACAGATTTTCAATAAACAACTTTTCTTTCAATTCAGTGTCAACACCACATAACTGGCAAAAATGCTGAACCCATAATAGCAGGAATGATTCTGGTCTCATTATTTCTCCTTTTTTCATGACCCATTTTCTTCTCTCTCTCCTGACCATCCATAAATCACTCCTGCTTTATCTCACTATTTTCCCAGGGGGAAAAAAAGAAAAAAAGATACTGAATTGGATTTTTAAAACATACATTCTTTCAGATGAAAGAATCTTCTGACATACACAGTGCAGGACAGAATTCAGCTTGTGCAAACAAATCAAGCTTCTCGAAGCTGAATTGCGCTAAAGTAACCGTGTTTTAGTGGGCTGAAGAATCTCACAAAGGGAAACAACAACAAAGGTCACCTAATACACTTTCTCAAAACTTGTTCCAGCCTGTAGAGCCATATCATGTTGTTCCATTACTTGGACACAAATTTTTGCATAGTTGAAGGCACGAATTGTTCATTTTACACGTTGTTCATTTACAGGTTCCTCTGTTCATTGTGGTTTCATAGACCATTTTCAAAAGCAAGACAGAAAGTCTTTGTGTGCCTAAAGGTACAAGATTCATACCTTCCTTCTTTGTGATTTAACTTCCTGCTTTTAAAATGCATTATCAACTAAGCCCTCTCAGTAGCACTGTTCAGGCTTTAAATGTCCTCATGAAGAGTAATTATCTTTACATATGAACAAATTCAAATATAAACCTATGTTAATCCTATCTAGGGTTAGCAGCCACAGTCTTAGTCATTTAGGCCTCTTCAATGCCCAAGAAAATATAATAAGTTTGTCCAGGGAAGAATACATTCAGAAGTGAGGTCAGTGGCTAAGAAAGGATGAATGATCCTCTGCAGGGTTCCCTTGTTACAATGTGATTTTAGACATTTACCTTAAACTAGACACTTTCAGATCCTAGGCAGCTGAATCTGGATGAAATGAGTAACATCCACAGGACAGCTGGGGCACAGAGGGAGAAATACTACATCTAATTTTAGGCACCCAACCCGAGGCAGTCACAGTGTCAGCAAAGCCTCCCATGACCTCCCTCAATTCTCAGAATCAACACTGAGGGCTCCACTCTATGTAAATTCAGTCACTAATTCAGATAGGATCTCACACAGCAGTGACAGTATGGTGTCTCTCAATTAAGAGTTCTCTCTCCACCACCGAAACCCAGAACAGTTCATATGCTAACACCTTCCAAGGAGGCCTCTTGCCAAGATGTAGTGCTTTGCATTATCCCAAGATCTTGGGATCCCAAGAGCTCCCAAAAGGCTCAGCTGAAAGCCTATCTGACTTTCAGGAGGTACAGGGGTATATTCAGTTGGAGTATTAAAAAGAAAATAAGCAGTGAATTCCAAAAACAAAGTATTCCATTCTCCAATTTTTTGACAAAGCTACAAAGAAAGGGACATCATCGCCATCATTATCATAATCATCACCCTAAGCAGCTGTAGAACCATGGAGTAAAAAATATTTCCAGAACAGGTTATCTTGAGAACTTCTGACAATATGCTAGAGGAGAGGGCAATCCAGAACGGGAAACTGGAGAGCTGAAGGTCTGAGAACACAGGGTAGTATTTCACAGGGGTAGATACATCACTTTTGTGTTGAAGAAGTGAACAGGAGGGAGGAAACTCTGGTCTGATTCTGCAGGGGAGACACAGAGACTGTCCTTGCCCTTCCAGTTGCACGTCATCAGGGCAACACTGTTTTGAAAAGGCATGCAACGTGACAAGATGTGCAACCAGAGCAAAAGCACGATGGCAATCCATCTTCCCACGTTATTTAGGTCCAGCAGCCATTGTCCAGTTGTGGGCAGAACAACAAATACAAACATAAGTGAGGAAAACACATGATATGGGAGAAAGCTGAAGAAAACGGGGTTGCTCCACTTAACAGAAAAACAAAACAAAACAAACAAACAAAAAAACCCACAAAAAAACCAAAACCAAAAACCTGAACATAAACAAAACAAACAAAAAACCCACCAAAAACTGAGAGAAGACATGACAAAAATCTTCAGTTATACAAAAGCTGCAAAAAGGAACAGCATTACTTTTTTCATAGGTTTGAATTACAGTGGGGAAAAAAAAAAAAAAAAGAAAAAATATTGGTAAAAACCAAGAAGCAGCATATAACTCTATTTGGGGATTCCCATCTTTGCAAGCCTTTAAAGAACAAGTTAGATAATCTTGACATGAGATGAGAAAAATAGATGGATAAGACAATCTATTTCAGTGCATCAAGCCATTTAGATCACTCTGTTTTTATGATTTTATAAGATACAATAGGAGTAGCTGACCTATGAGTAGCAGTGGTGGTAGGGTAAATTCAGCACAAGATTTTTCCCCAACTCCTCTGATGCTACTCACTAAACTGGACAGTGTGACAAAGTGGTTTTCTTACAGAACCTCCCTTAGGTGTTGGTTTGAAGATGGCAGCATTGGGCTGACTGAATGAAACTGCAGCTGCCAGAACTCATTGCTTAGGGCTATTTTCCTGCAATTATGGTACTGGAATATATCCTATAATGTGAGAATAATTCATTTTATCTTATCAAAGTCAATCTGTAACTCACTTTTATCTCTTCACCAGCTATATATAAATGATTGGTCCTGGAAGTGCTTCAAAAAAACCCATTTACTATCTTGGCCCATATTACAATAAAATCCAGATGAATACCAGCTACTTCTCAGCACCTTTACTCTTAAGGAAAGAAGAGGAACAGAATGGATGTCCAACATGCTCCAGCCAGCTCTGAATGATCAGCAGACCTGAATGATCACCAGGACCCCAGAGTATGCCATGCAGCTCTCTTGAGAATCAGTAAAGATCCACATCCAGCCTGGTGTAAATCATCAGACTGATGGCAGTTTTGGCACTGAGAGTGATGTTTCTGAACTTCTGCTCTTCCTGTCACCTATAGTGAGTCAGTGGCAAAAATATGCATTTCATCCTTAGAATTTTTCTAATGCAAAACTCACCTGCTGCACACACATACTAACCAATTTTAGGGGATCATTATTATGTTTTCTTTGTTTTATAATTTTTCATGTAATTTTTTTTACAAGTTAATACAAGTATTTACTGGAAAATAAACAAAAAGCAGAAAAAAGTGTTGTGTTACAGACCATTATCAAGACAGTTGTAGCATACAAGTTCTACTTTAGATCAAAAAAAAGTTTATATAGAAATATACTTCATTATAAGAAACCTTACATGACGCACATCAAAATGAAAAAGGGTAAAAAGTTAGCTGTACTCTAATACAGTTCTCTCCTATAAAGACAAAAAGGGTTCAGGAAGGTTCTCTTTTGGTGAACTTTTTGACTTTCTTATTACTTTCTTGCTTTAATACAGTCCAAATTTTACAGTCTTTAATGAAGAAAAAGCACTAATTTATAATTAGAAGCAAAAACATTAATAATTTGAATTGCATTAGGGATCTGCTAATATTTTCTGAGGACTCATAGGCATGTTATGGTAAGATTACATAAACCAGACTTCCAGTATGGTATTATTCAGGTGAAAAGATAACATATTAAGTCTCAAAACAGTTCATAGGTGAAGTTTTGTAAAAAGAAAAAGTATGATTAAGAGATTTTTTTATCTGTATACTGCATTTCCTGAAAGACTACAGAGTGATATTTTTTCTCCCATCATAAGAAATCATTAATATAAAATATCTTTTTTAAAAACACATCATTAAATTAGAAATCATTCTAAGTAGTTGTGTTCTCTGTTTTTAATCAAGGGGCACCAATGCAATAAAGACAAATTATTGATTTCTGGGGCTGAATTATCAAGAATCAAACTGAGGGGACTTTCCTTCTGTAGAAGTAATATTAATTGTTGGCAGTTAATGGTAGAATTACAGGTTCAATTTCTTTTTATATAAAAACTCATTGAATTAATTGAACCATGTGCACTGTGTCATAATGGGAATCATCAATAAACTCTTAGGGAAATTTTATTTCATTTCTGCACTGAAGGTTGTTGTAAGAGCTCATGTCATTCAGTTTAGGTACAGCTGCACAACATTTGGTTGTTTTGCCCGGGTTTGTTAATCTTATGCCAGGGAGAAGAGACCATTATTCACTAACATTTTATAGACTGTACTTCAAATATCCTATGTCAAAACTATTTTAGTAAGCTAAGTTCAGAAGGCTAGTTCATGCTAGGAACTGAGGTTAACACTTAGGACCCTCAGAAGGCTGTTTGGGGCAGGTGACAATTGACAGGAGATTCTCAGAACCACCACAATCATCTTATCAGCCCAGACCCCAGGAGAACTGCAGTTCACTCTTCCTCCTCCCTCCAACCCCTGGTAAGAGCCTGAATCTAAGGGCTCAGGTAGGTCTGACAACTCAGACTGGCAGGTTTCTCAATGGCTTCAGACACCTGGAGAGTTTTTTGGCAGCTGTGGGCAGAAGCACAGCATTCTGCCCTGGCAGAAAACAGCTACTGCAGCTGTGATCCCACCATGTCTGTCCCTGCCAGTGGACATCAGTCTCAGCAAAGCAGCAATGTGTCTGTACAGTTAATTGGATCCAAAAAGGTCAGCACAATTCCTTCTTTTCTTCCCTCAATTTTTAGCTCAACAACAAAAGATAAAGTGTTTCACCTTAGTCTCATGTTCACACATGCTCGTCACCCAGGCTCTGACAATCTGATCTTCCTTCTTCCAGATATCTTCTTCAATGCTTTTCTCTTTCTGCTGATCCCATCCTCTGCAAGCCTACCGAAGGTATTAAATGATAGATTAAATAATAGTGGAAAGAAGGCAACGTTTTCACACCATTACTCTTTATGTTACTCGTTCTCTCTCTTTCTCTGTTGCCCTTGGACACAAATCAAGGCAGTCAACAGCAAGTGCCCATGACCTTCGGAGTACTGAACATGACTTTTGGAGTATCACCAACACAATACCAAAAAGCCCCACGAGTGAGGCCCTCCTGTATGTCAGGTTCTTGCTGTAGCAGAGACAGGGAAGAACAACATTCATTAGTTTATTAATTTTTCCTGCACCAAGATAAAACACTCCTGCATGTATCAACAGAGCAGCACAGTTGGCCTCTTGTCCTATGAGCTCCCTTTGTGCATATACCAATAACAGAGCCATGTGTCAGTGTGCACTCACCTCTACTGTGATCTTTATATTGCTTGACACTTTGAAAGTGCTCCTTGCAGTAAAGACTCCTAAAAGCTCGAGCAAGGCTGTATCAATAAGTGTTAAAGAAGCTTAACTTGGTCCAGCTTCACAGATTCTTGCAATTCTGATTTGGTTTACTCTGCAAACATAAAGGAAATAAAATGACAGAAGATGACTCCACAGCTTACTTTTACCTGTGTCACAATTTTAACACAGGAAGAGTTGACAGAAGTGTTGTTTGGCTTGACCTGTCCCCAGTTTAGCTCATCTGGGCTCACTCCAGTGGTTGGACAGCAGTAACTATGCTGACTAATGGGGAGTAAGCCCATTGTAATCCTTTTTAAACATCTCTCACTGAGCCATTTGATCCTACTGCTTCTCTGGAAAAGGCACGATGCTGCAGTAACAGTTCAAACCAGGTTGCTTTGGGGAAAACTCTGTAACTTACCAGCATTGAAGGCAGTTTTGGCATCAAATACAACAGATTCAGAAAGTGTGACGTGCAAATAGCTGTGAAACAGCTGAGGCTGTTGAAATGAATGTTCACAGTGACAATAAAAATCAGTTCAAGCCATTCTGTATAGAAACTTATGACACTCAGAAATTCTTTTAGAAGGATAGGGCGGTGAATTTGATCCTTGACTATATCCTAAGGAAACACTGTGCTTGATTAGTGGCTGACACATTCAACTGTGACCATCATAGCACTGATTCCAGAGCATCACACGTAACTTCTGGTCAATCTTTTTAGGGGCAGTACATCTGAATTTGCTACAGATAGTGTAACTAAAACAAAAAATAATCTGTTGATTTCCTGTAGGAAAAGCAAAGCAAAAGTTTTTCTTCATAGGTAGACGGATCAAATTGCTGGGTTAAAAATTATTTCAACTCTATTCATTTATTCTGTTGGCCAACCTCTTCCTCCCCATCCAGCCAAGGACTCATTCCAAGCTCTGGATAAATCGTTGGCAGCCATTTTCATGACATGGTTGGCTTGAAAAGGCATGGGAAGAATTCCAGCACTGAGAATTCAGCTGCAGGTGGAGGAACACAATCTGGCATATGCAATGTCTGTCATCTCCACACTCTGGTATTTGCAATCTATTTTTCTGGCTCACAAAAAGTTGTGTGATCGTAAGCACTTAGTGTAACACTCAATTACTGCTTACAAGCAACTCCATCACTGCATGCACAGCAATATGACTGGAGCTGTTGGCCTGTCTTTGAAGTAAATCCTTAGGAGTGGTAAGCCCTTAATCAATTCATATTTTGTGCAGTTGGTGTCAGCACTCCTCTGGAGAAGGAAAAAGGTGCTTCAATTCCATCTCTTAATGAACAGCTGAGAATGGCTCCAAAACCACAAAAAGGTGCATAGCTCATAATCAGTAACAGCCTCTTTTCATTGTAATGGATGAATTTGGAGTTGGACAGCAGTTGCTTGATATTTTTGAACGTCTCTGTAGGATGGCAAAGACTTCTCTAAGGATCTTCCTTGCTAACAATCAGTAAGGCATTTTATTGATCTCTGACTTCTATAAAACAAAGTTGTTGTTGTAGTGATTATAGCAATAGAGGGGAAGGTTCCCTTCCCTCAACCTACTTCTGTTTAAACTTCTCTTTTTGCAAGAGCACACTGCTGATTCCTGTCCAGTTTGTTGTCCACTAGGACTCACAGGTCTATTTTTTGTGGGTTTTGTTTGTTTGTTTGTTTGTTTTTGCAAAGCTGCACTGTCCTCCAACCTGTACAGCTGCATGGAGTTTTTCTACCTAGATGAATTCAACATCTTTATATCTATATAATCCTTGTTTCTCGTGCCCTTCACCGTGATGTTGAGCTCCTAATGTTGTGGTATGTTGGCAGATGAAAACCACATTACAGTTTTCAAAGGCAGCATTCATATTTCTTCAGCCTGAGTCATCTTAATACATATTCAGGCTGATTCAGTGGTTAGGTCCTTTTTACTGCAAACATAAACATCAGAGAATTGATTTAGCAAAGAGATGACACTGAAATGCTTTGTCTTGATCTTAGCCTCAAAGCACTTCAGTTAAAATGCTTAGCAACAAAGCACATCTCAGCAATAAAGGGAATGACGTTCCCTAATTTTCATTTGAGAAATTGAAATCTCTGAACAATGAAAAATGGTGTAGGCAATAAAGGAGCCTTCAGCAAGATTATGATTTTGTTCTTAAGCACAGCAGGCCCATGGTGGCAGTATAATGGCAAATATATTGGCTTAACAGCAATTTTTTGTGTGGGATTGCCTGTCCTTCCCACAACATTGTCTGATTTAAGGCACACTCCTCAGCATGTCCCCATCAATGCCGTGTCAAGTTCTAGGTGAACTGCCACAGATCCCCCACGAAAGCTTTCTCCCAGAAACCTCTCAGCTGTACTGAAGGTGGGGACCTATGTCTAGAGCTCATCCACACACTTCCCATGACCTGGAAACTGGATATTGAGTGTGTGCAGCCAAGGAGCCTGTCTTACCATCAAGAGTATGATCAACAGCACAGAGACAGGGTCCTCCTGTAACCCCACGACTGCTGCTGCCCTGCAAACACAGAGTGGGAGGACCTAGGTCTGCTCTGCTCTCTCTGTAGACAGAGGTACAGCATCCTGGGGACACCGGGCTGCCTCCCCAGCAAATCCACCTGGCACACAGGCAGCTCCTGTGCCCCCTGAAGGCTCTCCAAGCCTTTGGGTCCTCTGTATTGAGGCAACAAACTAGCTCTGTGCTCCTCACAGGAACTGCAGTACTTCTGTTTCATGCCTCTCTCTCTGGAGTGAGAGCCAACACAAATAACTGATTGTTCTGCAAAGCAGAAGATGTTTGCAGAAGGGTGAAAGGCTACTTTGCATCAAACCTTGGTGGCACTGGGTTTGTAGCTACTTACCAAGGAAGGCCAGAAAGCCAGTTGATGAAGGAGCTGGTGGCACATTTAGGGTCATACAGCCTAGAAAACAAAGACACTTAGAAGATGTAAACCAGAAATCAGCTTTCCTATTGAAGGTTTGTCAAAATGGGAGACCACAGTGAGGAAATAACTTGCCAGATTGCTTCCCACCATCTCTAGCAGTAGGATTGTTGGGACAGAAATCATTTTGTCCTTCATTAGTCTCTAAATGTTAATGTAATAGCAACAGCAGAAGTTTTCAGTGTAGAAAAAGAAATACTTGGGTTTATGTCTAGACAAATAGAAATACCTCAGAGTTTTTGGTTTTGTTTTGTTGTTTTTTTCTTGAATTTTAGAGGATTAAGAAGGGTTGTTTTCATGTCATTTTGGAAATAATAACTCTTATCTGATCTTATCTGGACTTCTGGCAATTGACCATAATACTTGTTGTGCTTAATGTGTAACTTAAGAACTTAGGAAGGGATATAAGTGGTTGAAAACTAATGTTAACCTATTAGTGAGGTAAAACTGAGTTAACAGTGAACAATTTTCAAGTCTTACTAACACCTCAGTCCTTTTCTTTCCAGTTAAAAGAACTTCAATGGCAGAATGAAATAAAATGCACAGTAATTTAAGAAAAGTAGTTTTTTAACTTTTTAAAGAAAATACCAATACCAAATAGAAATGATGCAGCAAAGAAATTATGTTATCTCTTGTAGGAAGAGAAATCCAAGAGAAGACCTTTGCTATAATTTAGAACAATGATTAAAATATGCCAAACAAATGGAAAATGAGAGATATCACGGTGTTTTTTGCTACTACGCACCCTGCTCCAACACAGAAGTGCTACATACAACTTGCAAAAACTAATTCCTTACTGCTAAAGAGTTCCTATCTTTATAGCAATTAAAATTTTATTTCACCTGATTGCCATGGACTATGACCTTAGTTCTTTCATTCCAATCTCTTATGTCTCTCTGCATTAGTGATAATCATCTCCCCTCCCACGAAAAATGGACCCTGTCTTCTCAGGATCACAAAGCAGAGGCCAAGGGATAGGTAGCAGTCAGAGGACAAACCAAAACCCCATGCTCTTTGCCCCAGGCTGGGCCCTGTATTTTTTGATTCCTTGTGATTTATTCTGCTCAAATACCGCATCAATATATAAGAAATAAAAACAAGAAAGGAGTTACAATAGGCCAAAACCAGAACTCCAAGTACAAATTCCTCCAGATTATTCAGACTCCAGCCCCTGAATCATAAACCAGATTCATGGGTTTGGCCCCAGCCACTGTGCAAACAATGTGGAGGCCCCTCTTCCAGTGAGGTTGAGCTGTTGCCAAAATCTTGAAGGAACAGTCTGTCACTTTCCTGAGACCAAGATGAGTGATGAAACTTCCACAAAGGAGCAGCTGACCCACATTGCTCAAGAGGAGCACTGTCCCAGAAGATGAGCATGAGTACAGCACTCCGTTTAGGATGAGAAATTTCATCAAGAAATTTGCCAAGTTCTTTGACTCACACAAATCAGATTCTGTCCCTGGCCCTGACTTGGCCATCAAATGCACATACTGACATATGTCTAACTCAGACCTCAGTGCTGCCCACTGGGTCTGCCTTAACACATTCATCGTTTCTGGTGAAACTATGGGGGTACAAGCTGTGATACTTCTTTCCCTTGTACATAAGGTACAAAAAAGGAGGATGGGAAGAAGAGTCAGAAATGTTTTCTGGCTATAAATAGAATCCCTTAATGGTTTAGCCTGCTTCAATTAGTCCATTGCACAATTACAGTTGTCAGTTCTTCACTCCAAAGAATCCTTCTTAACTGCTAATCCAGAACTATGATTTAAACAACGCAGCATTCAAGAATTTCCGTGTGCATCAAAACACAGCCAATTATAATCAACACTGGCAAATTCTAATTTGACATTAGACATAATTAACTACATGAGAAATTACCCCTATAATAATAACATTCAACAGGAAGAATGGCAACTTCAGTAACTCCTGCTCACTATTAGGTGCAGTCACAAAGTTCCTGTTGGCTCGATGATTAAGTGCCTTGCACAGAGGCCAAAGGCCCAGCACCCAGATCACAGAGGCCTAGGATTTTTGGGTAGGCCAGGCATCTCTGGTACTTAGTTCTTGAAAGTGAAAGACTTCTATCATCTCCTGCTGCCACGGAGTATAAGAGGATTCAGAAGCAGGAGCTGAATCCCAGGGGCAGACTGAAGAGAGTTTATGGCACCAAATGGACCTTTCATTCTGGACTCGTAAGCATCTGATAGAGGAGAGAAAGATTAACTCCAGTATGCTCTTGAAGTTTTGGCAGTCTTTCAGCTTAACAGCAGGAACTGAATTTTCTCTTCAGTTTTGAAAATTCTTGTCCAATTTTACAGCCATCTTCTGCCTTGCTTTACTTCTGACAGAACAGTTTAATCTTGGGTCTCTCTGCCTGAGGATATGGTCACTCAAAGGTATCTTGTTAGAGCAGCCTGATGAATGACAGCTTCTCAGCCTAGGCTGGTAAATGTTGAAGTTGATTTTGTGGAGCAAATAGCCTCTTCTGTATCCAGGTCTCCTCTCTGTTGCAATCTTAGCTATCCCTGTTATACCAACAGTGGCTTAGAGGTCTTATTTCATTTGAAAAATGTAACATGAAATAGGAACTGTTCTATCAGCTTGCTAAGCTTTGAAAATCTAGTTAACCCAAATCAAAGTTCATGGATATATTTGCTGTTTTTGGGTTAGCCTGGGCAAAACCAGAACAAAATGAAGAATTACATTAGACCAGGCAACAAAGAAGGAAGGAGAAGGGATGTAAGTGGCAGTACTGAAACCTGATACGCCAAATTTCGCAATCACGATTGTTTCAAAGAGTTGAGTGTGACAGAGAAAATCAGTCCCATGTGGGAAGTCTGGTGACAGTGACTCTCAGTGACACAGAGGAAACATTGTGACACAAAATACACTGTAGTTCTTGGCATCCTCCACTTTCGTATAGCATTGGTAATAGTATTTCTTCACTTGCATTCTATAGCTTGAAAAAACATTACCAGAAACCTTCAGGATGAAATCCTGGCCCCAAAAGTTTAGCCATTCCGCTTAAGAGAGCCAGAGTTCATATTTATAATCTTCTCATTTTCTGTTATCGTGCATTCTTTTTCAAACTTTCTTTTTCCATTTAGAAAGTGCTCTTAGGATAACAAAGCAAACATCCAGTGGATACAGAAACCTGACAAGGAGCAAGCCTCTTGCTCTAAAAGCAATCCAGACCACTAAATTTTTCATTAATTAGTATTTCTCAGAAAGTTACTGATTAACCTCCCAGCTGTTTCCAACACTTTAGTCTGAAACAGCCCAATAACTACAAAAACAAGTTTTCACATTTTTAAAAGCTGATGGCTCACAGCTTCTAGCTTTTGCATAGGCCAAGATGACCAGAAATAAACTGGACAAAAAAAATGAGCAAGGAAAGCAAAGACAAGTTGCACAAGGAACCACTTCAGAAACCACAAATGAGAAAAAAATAAAATAAAAATTAAACTGCTATAAAACTGTGCCCATCACTTCTTGATGAAGGACTGTTTTTTGCTGGCAGCACTAATTCTTCTAAAGTTAAAATACTGTTAAATAGTACCATACATATATGTGATTATGATATCTTCAGTGTTGCTACTGGAGATAAATATAATGTATGATCCAAAAAGCTTTTTGGACTGAGGATAATTCACTGGTAAGCAGACATGCATTTCTGTAAGAACAAATGTAGTTAAACAAAACACTGATAGAAGCTGTAAAAAGAACATGTGACATCGTATTACCCCTATAAAATGAATTCTCTACGTTAATTTTACTCACAATATTATTATTTGACATCAGGACTGAGGAAAAAATGCATCACAAACCTACTCATTTTTTGGTCCAAATGTAAGGCCTATTTCCCTGACCTTGCCTTCATTAATAAATACACAGCAACATGCATATTTAAAATAACAAATTAACAGGACGCTTCACTGCACACACTTACATCCCTGGGGAGAAGATGAGAGTACAAACAACATGTGACAGATGTTAATCACATAGCTTAATGCACTATTGGAAGTGGGTCAGCAATAGCAATGAAGAGCACCCCATTGGAACAATAAGAGGATGGAATAGATTTAGAATAAATTATAAAGACCTATAATACAATTGAAATGTGAATAATGAATTTTGTTTGTTTCTGCGATATGAGAAAGTTAGTTTTTGTGAGTTTTGGTGGGTTTTGGTGGAAGGTATATCCTCTCTTAACAGCTGGTGTCAAAATAAATATTTAACTAAACTTATTACACATGGAGATGTGGTTAAAATCAATTGGAGAGGAAAAGCAAATAAGAGATTAATTGATCTTCTTAATTGCATTTTTCAAACAAATGATCATTTTCATAAAGACCAAAACCAGGCAGTATCTTTTCACAGGGTAAGGAGGACCTTAACAAAGATACATCTAACTTTTTGTAATGACAATTTGCATTTAGTTTGCCTCTCATTGAATCAGGATTCACAACAAAAAGCAGCATAAGCAACACTAAAACTCTTTGCTGAGGTATTAACAAGAGTGGATGGTAGGGAAGATTAGAAGGATGATGATTTTACGTCAAGTAATTTTGGTCAAAGTAGAACTCCAGGCAGCACATTTTATGCTTGCTAATCTCATCTCCACTATGGCAGCTGCATCTTTTCAGATAACTATGACTTTAGCTCCATCAATTTGCTCAAATTCTGATTTCAGTTAGCAATCTTGTTTCGCGAACACATTTTGTGCTACCTTTTTGCACTGAAGATGAAGTTCAAGATGCCTGTAAAGGAATGGATAATATATTTTTCTTTAATCTATTTGCATTCTCTTAAATATGAGTTCACTGAACAAGAACTGCTTCTATGTATTAAACCAATGCCTAGAATAACACGACTACGATTTTGACTGGGGCCTCAGACAATTGTAACAGAAATAAGAAACAACCATAATAAGTCCTTTGGAAGAGTCCTACCTTTTGTAATGTGTCCTAAAGGGAAAGGATTGAGCAATTAGAAAGACATTTTATCCTACATTTCTGTAGAAAGGGAAAAAAATGTAATATTGACAGATGCATTGGCCTTCTAAACCAATTTTGA